GACAATGTGGACAACTCACAACTCTTTAGTCGCCAGGCCAAATGAGATCTCCTTGATCTCTCCACTTTGTCAACTGTCTCACCTCCCCTCCAGACTAGTCACCCGGAGGGGCCTTTAAACAGACTCCAGCCTTCCCTCCTCTCACTGTCACTCGCTGTCCTTCCATCCTCCAACCATGTCATCACCACTTCCAGCCTTCTCCAGTGACCCTCCATCCCAGCTACCGCCTCAACTCTTGCCTGCGTGAACAGAACCTTCTCAGTTCTGGTCAGGCCAGGCTAGGAGCAGCTGCGGGATCACACAATGTCATCAGCGTGTCATGTTCATCCTCAATGCCCTCTTTCTTCTAGAACCCATCTATTCCCAGAGACCTTCCCAAATATGACTTGCTCCATTTTGACTGTGTGTCACACTTTAGAAAGAGGCTAAGAAAGCATGCCATCTAAATCTCCCATTTTACCTCATTGAACACTTAGTGCCAGAAAGAGGAGGGAGTTGTTCAAAGCGCACCCTACGTGGCTCTCTATTCCACACTCCAATCTTTACTGACTTGAGATGGCACCTTGATTTGGGGGGAGGGGGGTTGTCTTGGCTCTAATTTTTCCCAACTGCTGGGTTGGGGTATAATAGGAATGCTACCAAGCTTGCTGATTAGAAGGAAACGCAACATAAACAGATGCACCTTTTCAAAGCTAGTTTTCGGTGTGACATTTTAATGACATTATTCTTATTCGAATTGTGTCCGAACAACATGCTTCTTTTTCTTTACCCAGCCCCACACCCACTGTCATGGAATCAATGACGACCCATAGCGATCTTGTTATACATCTTTATAGGAGCAGGGGATCTCATTTTCTCCCTGGGACCACGGGTGGGTTTGAACTACCGACGTAGTGGTTAACAGTCCAATGCTTACCCACCAGCACCACCACTAAATTATTTTGTTCTACTATAAGCTCCCATGAGGGAACCCTGGTGGTGTAGTGATTATGCATTGGGTTGCTAACCACAAGGTCAGCAGTTCAAATACATCAGTCACTTAGCGAGAGAAAGACAAGACTTTTTGCTCCAAGAAGGAATGTATAGTCTCAGGAACAGAGAGGGGCTGTTCTACTCAGCCCTATGAGTTCGCTGTAAATTGGAATCAACCTGATGGCAGGGAGTTTTCAGCTTTTAATTGATCGTTTACTTTTAAATGCCTGTACAGCTCTAGAACTGTGACCATCCCCATGCCCCATCCCATTGTTTGTCAGCCATCGCGGTGTGTGGCGACGACCAAAAACTCACTGCCATCCAGTCTTTATTTTTCTTGTACTCGTTGTTACTAGTATACCTTTTTCATCATGGGAAAAAGATACACAACAAAATACTCTCCAACTTAACAACTGTAATTTTTTATGGCAGTAGAAAGCCCAGGGTCTTTCTCCCTCAGAGCAGCTGGGTTTTCGCACTGCTGATTTTGCAACCCCATGAATAACCAATCCATCACCAGGCCTCCTTGTGGAAAAGGCCCAGCTAGTGCAATTCCTAGGGCCCAGGTCTGAACTCCAACCGGATGCACCATAGATTTGGTGAACGAGAATTTGGTCTGAGAAAAAGTCCGCTGAATTTGGAGTTTGAACAGCTGGTGACCAACCATGTTTTCATACGTTTTCCAAAACTGGACTTAAAAATTCTAAAATGAGCAGGGCCCTGTCCTGATTCCCCCACCACCACATTGGCAGACGGACACGTGCAATACAATAATTTCTAAATCTTATACAGAAATACTACTGCTCATCAACAACTGAGCCTTTTGTCCTCATACACTCTCTTTGTCCTTGCTAGGAAGCGTGCTCCCTGCATTTCTTCTCGGCAGTTCTCTCTCATCGCACACATCACCCTCAGCCCAGGCAGGGCAGCAGCTCAATGGCAGCTCTGGGAGGAGTCAGGCATTGGCTGGTTGCCTTGATGGCCTGTCAGGCCCCCTCCCCAAATGTGAATGGGTGGCCGTGAGTCAGGGGTGGCCCTAGTCGCTGCTCAGGGATTTCCCTGCCTTTATCCACCAGACTTCGCCGGGATTTCTAACCTGATACTAAGAGTCTCCTTTGCAACTTAGCTACTGGGCCTGCTTGTGGTGAGCAGAAATCCTCCAGGGTCTAGGAAAGCTCTGATCGGGAACAAGCCCCGTCAGACTTCCCATGTGTACAATGACTAATGATGGTGATGACGTAGGCGATAACAGGATGCACTCACATGTAGCGAGGGGTCACTTTGTGATAAACACTAGCATGCATTACCTCATTGTGTTTTCACAAAAGCCCCGGTCCCTCAAGGAGCAGCCAACAGGGCCCAGGGTGTCACGTGCAAATATGTCTGCAGTGGAGTTCTTGCAGTGCTACTCAAGAGCTCTCTGACCTTGGGAGAGCCCTTCAGGCCCTTGGAGCCTCACTCTCATCTGACAAACGGGGATGCTTAGATCCACCCTGTCTGCCTCCCAAGCACAGGGCCAGTTTACAGAGAAATGCCCACCGAATAAGGGATGCGAAGACTCGTCACAAACTGGAAAGCGCCCTCCAGCCAGGCTCAACACCAAGGTCACACTGCTGGCCTAGAACTAGGGTCCAGGTGTCTGGACTCCCGGGACAAGCAGATGGAGCTGCTAATCCCCTCAGTTCAGTGGAGCACAGAGACCACCAGCTGGCATGGAGATCCTACTTCACACCACGGACTCTCTCATCTCCTGAGACCAGCCCCTCACCCTCACGTATCAGTGCCAATACAGCTGCCTGTACTCCTTAATGTTTCTCTCTCTGTGTATCTCTGTCTCTCTGTTTCTCTGTCTGTCTGTCTCTCTCTCTCTCTCTCACACACACACACACACACACTTGCTACTCTTTCAAACACACATATGCACACCTTTGGTGATCAGAAGCCACAGAACTGGTCCAGCAACCAGAGGTATATCCACCTTCTGGAACACTAGAGCTAGCACTATTCTTCCAGCTGGAGGAAGCGTTCTGGAAGGTGGGCAGATGTTCATCAAAAGATGCCTTTTGGGTAGAGCTGTGTGAGTAAATGTGATTTCCTTTTTTGCAAACACTCGGTGACTCCGACAGTTTTCGGTGTCTGTTGTCTTCTTTTCAGCGTTTCTTCTCCGAATAGACTAGATGGCACTGTGGTATCACCCTTTTCGTGACCAAGGAAATCCGATTTTATTTCCTATTATTTTGAGTCTCACTGGGACACTCCAAGAGGCCGGACTCTCCACTTTGGGGGGGGGTCTTGTGGAGCCCCAGACATAGTAACAACTTCCATGGTACCCTAGACCTCTCTTTATACTCCTCTGCTACAGTCGTGACTGTGAAGCCCTATTTCTGTCAGAAGGATTTTTTTCCCTGTCACCACCTCTTACTACACCTCTAAGCTCCACCATCAAGGTATTCTATCTCCAATATTGCCACATGCCACTAAACCACCCAAACCTTATAGTGACAATGGTTCACAGTGGATTGAGGTGATCACCATCCTGGTGCCAAGATTCCCTCAGGATGGGGAGAGAGAGATGTTGGAGCTGGGGGGAAAAAACGGAAGTAGAACCAAGTCTGCCAGAAATGCGCCATTGGTTGGGTGTGATAATACCCCCAATCAAGCCCACTGCTGTGGAGTAGACTTCGACTCAAAGTGACCCTGCAGAACTGGGTGAGAGTGCCGCGCAGGGTTTTCAAGGTGGTACATCTTAGGGAAGCAGACTACCTCGACTTTCACCCATGGAGCAGTCTGTCAGGTTCAAATCACTGACCTTTTGGTTAGCAGCCAAGCTCTTAATTATGAAATCCCAAAGACTGCTTGATCTGACAGCCACTAGCCCGAGGTTGCCAGGTCCGGACACAAAGTCCCCCAATCCAGGCAGCAGGGGATGTCGGTGGGCAGTCAGGCCAGCAGCCACTGAAGTCTCCCCAACTGGAAAGGGGGGAGCACAGCCCTGCCCACTCAGAAGTCCCATTCCCATGGTCCCCTGCTCCCATTCCCAAGACTTCATGTGTTGTAGGGAGACGGAGAGACTGGAGTCAGGAGTCACTGCATCCCAACAGGGCGGCAGTTGCCCTCGCCTTCTTTCCCACACCTGAAGCAGAGTGGCAGTGCGCTAAGGGGAGGAAAATCTCCCTTCAAAAGCCTCAGGCTACTGGCTCATCTTGGCATAAATCAGCCCTTCCCATCAAAGCCTGGGTTCCCCGCCTGTGGTGCTTTGCTCTCATGAAACAGACCTCCTGAAATCAAGTGAGGTTTCCCAGGACAGAAGCCCAAATGGGGTCTGGGGCGGCGTCCCCTGCACACATGCAGTCTGAGTCTGTCCAGCCCATTCCTGGGCCCACGGGCTGCCTGCCACTCCCCTGGCTAACGCGCAGCAGAGGGTCCTCGCCCAGCCCAGAGTGAGAGGCACCTGGCTCGCACTGAGAGCTGTCCCAGGGGGACTCGAACCAGCAGCAGCGGGGGCACCCACTCGCCCTGGGAGAGTTGCACCAGAGAGGATAAAAGGAAAAGAGCCAGAAGGGCAGAAGGAGAGGGGCAGGGAGGAGGAGAGGGTCACCCCCTTAGCTCTGGGAATCTCAAGAGAAGGCAGGGGTGGGGTCGGGGGTGTTGAGAAGAGGCCAGAAAAGTCCGGAGGGAAAAGGACCGAGCTGGGGGTAGCACGGCAGAGGGAAAGGGAGGAAGCGTGGAAAAGCTAGTGGCCAGGACCGGCGAGATTCACAGCGCCAGAGGGAATGGGAACACGCGATAAGGAGTGGAGCTTTGCAAGCGCGGGAAGGAAGCGTCCCTGCTGGGCCGCAGGGGACAGAGGTGACACTCCAGGGCCTCAGCACAGAGAGCGCTGCCTGGCCGCTGTGTAAGTAGTGCTTGGGTGCACACACTCACCAGACCCAGCCAGCTGGTCTGGGCCTCAGCTGCCAGTGCACCCAGTCCGGCGGCGCCAGCGGCCGGCCGCGCCCCCCAGCCCCCTGGCGCGGGAGCACACTCACCTGGCTGGTCTCAGCTTGGCGTCGCGCTTGCCATCCACCACGGCGGGCACGCAGCTCGTGAGCTCGGTCCAGTCGGCGTGCAGCCCGCAGCTCCAGCCGGTGGAGAAGCGGGAGAAGAGCCAGGTCTCCCGCTTCCCCGGCCGGTGGCAAGTGCATTTCTTCTGGCCCACGCGGCACTCGCAAGGCTGCTCCAGCTGGATGTTGCGCACCAGGTGGCGGCCGAAAGTGGTGCCCCCGGTCTTCTGGATGTGCAGGAACACGATCAGGTCATCGCCCTTGATGTCGAAGTCTACCTTGCGCAGGAGGTCGCCGCGGCTGAAATTGTAACGGGGCACGAACCTGGCGGAGCTCTCATCCTCCGAGCGGTACGGGTCCGGCACCGGGGAGCTGAACGCCTGCAGGCGGAGGAGCTGGCATTCTGTGCCGGGGCACACATACTGGAGGACGATCACCGCAAAGAGGAAGAGCATCACCAAAGCCAGCAGCAGCTTGTTGGATTTCTCATCCATGTTCCCGACGCTGGGGGAAACCCAAGCTCCTTACGTCAGTCCCGC